CGCTGCCGTGAGTTTACCTATAGTGGCCTACATAGTGATTTTATAGTAGGTCATAATTATAGTACATTAGTACATATTATACGAGTAATATAAAAATAGTTAACATTTGTGGTGATATACACTGCCACACCGGTACCAAGTGGACAAGATATACCTATTGGTCAAGACTCAAGATGGATAATCAAAAACAGGTAAGACGATAGTATATAATACCTTATAATACCTACCTATTAGCTATTACATAATATGTAACTTACCTTATATAAGTAGGTATGTATATATTAAAACAGTATATTATGTGTATTGTATACCATACAATACACATATTATTATATATTCTGTACCAAATAAGAGCGCACCGGGCGGCGCACGAAAACCGGTCGAAACTCGCGCATGTCAGAGAGCGCTGCCGCAGCATATTCCGGCGCCGGCCAGGTCAACTCTGAATACAGAGTGTTGTATATTATCACACCAATTTTAACGGTATACGCGGTTAGGCGTTGTTATATTTTTTGCGCGCATTGGTGAATATTTTGAATGTTTTTAATATTATATTGAGTTCAATACCTATGTTAAGAAAAAAAAAACGAAAAGTATGTATATTATTTTACTGATTAATAAGCGTGAAACGCATTATTACTTCAGCTCCATGTATTCTCGACGGCAGCGAATCCGACCGACGATCGGCGACCAATCACAGAGCGAATAGACTCGACCAGGGGGTCCAGACGTCGCTCCGCGATTCATTTGGATGCGCCAACGCGGTGCGCTCTTATTTGGTACAGAGTATAGGTATGTATAGTTACTTAAAGCTAAAAGACTAATATGTTAATGTTTGGTTGTGACATGTTAATATTTAAATATTTTATAAAATTTAATTAGAACGTTGTTTGAAATGTAAATCGTAATATATTTTATATGAACAACAAAACAATAATTATTATTATTTGTATGGTTGTTCTTAAAATTAAATTATGTAGTATGTACGTATTGGTATTATTCTAATAAATAATATTCAGTGCTTGAATTTTATGTGGCGTGAGGGGACATTTTCTTACTTAATAATATTTTTCAATTTAAGCACAAATAATATTTAAATACCAAGGTGCTATAGAGTTTAGCATATTAAAATACATGTACCTATGTCCTATATAATATATGCCTACATTTAATTTGTAAGCACGATTAATATAATTATTTTTAGTGGTCAGTTGGCTATTTTGAAAGCGAAAAAACTTATTCTGTTGTACCAAGCAATTGGCTTGTTATACAAGATAATAAATATTATTGTAAGTGGCCAAAACGACAAAAAGTTACAACAACGATGATTATCAATGCTGAAAATCCATCGAGTAAATGGCTCCTCTATCCCGTAAATATCATTGAGAATTCAACTTTCAGTAAGTTAAATAAACAAGTTGAATAGATAGTATTATTTTACATATTTTAAAATATAAACATAGGTAATTAGTTATTTTACATTTTCTTTACAGATACTTATGAAGAAGCTATGAAAAAGGAAAGGCAAATATTCATATCAGCTTCTGAGTCCGACAGTGGAGACCCTGACATAGCTAAAAGAAAATTGACAAATCTTAACTATGAAACTGATGGTAAGTATAATGACACTAATAGGAGGAACATTAAGATTTAAGATATCATTAAATTACAAAATATTTATAAATGTATTACCATATTAACTATAATCTATACAATATTTATAATTTATATATATATAACTATATAAGTATATTATATGTTTAGTATATTAGCATTATTGGAATCTAATCAAACCAGTAACAAATTTGAGTATTACAACCATAGATATTAGACTAATTGATGTATCATGGTGATCCAACATGAGTGGGCTGAATGGGTGTAACTACAGTACACACACGTCGCACATGTACACAAAATAATAAAATATACTTATATATTTATTATATGTTATATAAATACATTATGATTGCCATGGTCACTATCCAACCGTTCTGTCCATCATTACCCATCTTAGTATAGAAGGTCTATATAGGAATCTATATAAGTATAAGTTCTATGGTTATAAATTTACAATTGATCAATAATAATTATTGTTTTAATTCATTGATACATTTTTTTTAGTATAATACCTATTATCAATTTTAGTGTTGAAATATTATTAATACATTATGTATTCTTTTACAATAAATTATTCAAAAAATACCTACCTATACATTTAATGTAGGGTATAATATTTTTAATTTAAGTAAAACAATAAAAAGATTATCAATTAATGTTAAATTTAATATAGTAAGAAGAAAGATTATACATTTAACTATTTAAGCCATATTTTCCTAATATATTTATACACAGTGGCGTAAACTGGGTGGTGCAAATGCAGCACTTGCACCACCACATCTAAAATGTGGTGGTGCAAAGGTATGTTTTTGCACCACCAGAAAATCATTGAAATATATAATATATAAAGAGGTACAAAATAGTTATTTTAGTGCATGTATTAGACATTATCATTTAAATTATTACCCTATCTGGCCTATCTATATTCTAAAATATCGTACAACCCCCATAAATAGTTAGATTATTATCTATGGTAACCACTATCCACAGAATTTTGTATTTTATTATGGCAGTATCACAGAATCACGATTAAAGATATTATATCTTTAATCGTGCACAGAATAGACGTATAATTGTTCTGTGGTATAATATGGTAAAATTATATTGCTATCAACATTCTACCGCCAAAATAGTGTGTTATCACTGGATCAATGTTCATTCAATTCTCAAAAGTCAAATGTCAGATGATAGCTAGACGTCGTATTGAATCAAATTTTAAAATTCTCTTCAGGTTTCATAAGCGCCAGGAAAAACAACATAAAAATTAAGGAAAAACAGGAATTTTTACCCGAAATCGGTTTTCGACAAAATCGATTTTGGTTTTTGACCAAACAAATGAACATTTACATATATAATTGAAATATTCACTGGTTGGGTAAAAAAGCTTGGAAATTTAATAAAAGGCTCCAACTATATTGTTACAATGACATTAGAAAATTATTAAAAATCCTTAGTCACAGTTTTTTTATAAGCATTTAAAGTTCAAATCTTGACAAAATACAGAAAAATCACGAAAATTAACAATATAATTTGAGTTGAAAAAATCATAAAAATGTTTCTTTTCAAATCTAAGATTTTAAAATGTAATACAAGATTATTCATAAGTTTGTATACGCCTTTATCAAAAAAAAAAAATGTCCACAAGTAAATCAAATTAAATTTTTATGAGCATTTGAAAATCATATTTTTACAAGATTGGATATTCACTAGATTTCTCATGTAGCGATTTTGTTAATTTGTTGTTATTCAAACAAATAACTGTAAATACATGAAAATTTATATATTTATATTTTAATTTTCTATACACCACAAAGTTTTGAAAATAGTTTTACTCTCTTTGAGCTGTTTCCGGACATTGTCATTTTTTAATTTTTTTAGTTTTTTTTTCTATAAATATCAATAAAATTTTATTTGTTGGGTAAAAAGCGTGAAAATTTAATGGAAGGCTCCTGATATATTGTTACAATAGCGTTGAAAAATATTAAAAATACATAGCCACAATTTTTTTATAAGCATTTGAAGTTCAAATGTTGACAAAATGTATGGATAAATATATAGTTTTTTTTTGTTAGGAAGGATTTTACTTAGAAAGTTGGATTATTTTTGTGTTGAAAATTATAGGTTAAGAATATGCCTCTGCACCACCAGAAATTGGACCCAATTTACGCCACTGTTTATACATACACCTCAACACCTGTACGGCTGTATCTATATATAATATATATATATATATATAGATTTACTTATATTTGAGTTGAATTTCAGACAGTAGTACGACATTGGATGAACCACCTTTTAAGCTGTATAAAAATACTACTCCTGTATTAAACAGTTGTTCAGACCAAATTAATATTAATGTTAATCATAATTATAAATGTCAAACAATCCAGCCAAATTATGAGAGCCACATTTTTCCTATATCTTGTAAGTATAGTAAAAAGTAAGAACCTATTATTAAGTCATTCTTATATGAAATATTTGTTTATTTTATTTTTTACAAAATTATTCATAGTAGTTTCTAATCAATAATAATATATAATTGATCGTAACTACATAATTAAAAAATACATATTATATAACATTATTATAGTAAATATAATAGCTATAATATGCTAGTTTTTAGTTAATACTATTAAATAATACTACTAAAAATAATTTATTATAAACTGATTTATTAACAGCTTCTTTGACAAACTTGTATGACATGGATACTAATATTCCAAGAAATTCAAATAATGTAATGAGTTCTACAGTCTATCAGTCAACATCAAAAAACCAAATTACAAATTTGAATGCTGATATAAATTATGAAACTAGCTCTATAAGTCAGACACCACACAGCTCCTTACCAATTAATATATTGTCAAATTTAACTGACACTGCAGCTTTAGCAAGTCCTCTGCCTTCAAGGGACTTAACTCTTTGCGGCACACGTTTTTCGGATTTTTCTACCCCGTTATTGCACAACCTATTAAATTTCACTTTAATTGTCATAACTTTCAATGTAATTTCATTTTAATCCATCACATACAATTATTATTAAGTAAAAAAAAAATATATGAATTGAATGATGTGTTAACTATAGGTGGGATCACATGTATCCCACTGTGTACTTTGAGAGGTTTTTTGTGAGTAGGTAGTATAGAATTTAGAATTTCAAAATGTCTTTTATTTATAATTACAGCAAGTTATAAATGTTATAATAAATCATTTTATTTCTTATATAAGTTATGTGGATTATAACTTAGAATAGTATTACCTATTCAAATAAAAAAGTAACAAATTTTAATTTCGTACAACACAAAAAAAATCTTATAAAAAATTGAAAATTAAATTAATTACTTGTATCAAAATTAAAACAAAAATTATACAATTTAAACTAATTATTTATGGTAATCGGTAAAACAGTTTTTGTTTTTATTTAAACACAAAGGTATGTTACACACTGAGCATATCCATTCAGTTCTTACTTCCTTTACTTTAGTACTGCAATTTCCGCATCTTCTTCGACTAGATCTTATTGGCTGGTGTGCAGAATGATCAACTCTAATATTTTTTGGGACAAACGGCTTATTTTTTTTTAGTTGAACTGGAGGTGATTCTGAAGTTTGCTTCATTCGACGTTTTTCTAACATTTTTTTTCTTACTAATTCTGATGAAATTTCTCTGCGAAAGTCCTTCATTTTCATTTTAGTTCCAGTTTTTTGAGTGTATATCACATGCGCGTTTACAATAGCGACATCGATAAAATGAAAAAAAAAATACGATGCCACCACTTCTTGCTTTTTCTATCGATTTGACAAGTTTTTTTATTTTGGTCGAACCTATCGACACAATTCATATTTTGATTGTAATCTTTTAATGCACTAGGGCAAGGAACATATGAAAGTGTTCCATCTTTAGCTTTTCGCTGAACTGTTTCTTCATTTTTGGGGTCATGAAAGTTAGAAAGTAAGCTTACTGTTCTTTTGTCTTTCCATTTTACAATGGAAGTTGAGTACTGGTCAACACGCCAATCATATTCTCCTGTTTTTAATTCTTTGTCTAATTTTAAAGTAGGTAAATATTTCCTCGTCATATTTACAGTTCCACAAGCATGTATATTTTTTGATTTCAAAAAAGTCATTAATGGATAGCTAGTGAAATAATTGTCAAAGTACAGATGATGATTTTTGTTTTGTAAGGGCTGGGATAATTGTTTGATAACGCGAGCGCCTAAATTTTTCTCAGCTAAATCTCCAGATTTTCCAGTATAAATCTCAAAGTTCCAAAGGTAACCATTTTTATCGGCAAGGGCCCATACTTGATAACCCCTTTTAATAGGTTTTTTTGGTAAGTATTGCTTTGCGCTATGCCGTCCTTTGAATTTAATCATTGATTCGTCAATGGCAATTATTTTATTTGGATTGTATAAACGTTGACTATTTTTTAAAATAAAATCAACAAAAGGTCTTATTCTATATAGTTTGTCATACTGTTCATCACCTTTTTTGGGCATGACTGAATTGTCATTGACATGTAAATGAGATAATAACCAACTGAATCTATTGACTGGCATTAGGCTGCTAATATACGCATCGTTCAAGTCAGGTGCAGATGACCAATAGTCACGGTAGCTATATTGTTTTTTAATACCCATTAAGATGTTTATACCAATAAATAAACTCATTTCATCAAATGTTGTAGGTTCATATATTTTTCCCTTTTGTTGATATATTTGTTGACTATACAAGTTTGTATGGAAAGTTATATGGTCAATAACTTCATTTGTAATCAGTAATTTAAAAATGGAAAATGGTGTACACTCTATTATGATATCAGTTTCATCAGTAGGGCCTTCTAAGTGAGTAAACGGAGGAGTTGACAAGGTGAAATTTGTCGATGTAGACCAAACAGGTTCAACAAAATTAAATTCATCAGCAACCGCTGTAATATTTTCAGAAACATTTACATTTTCGACTGAAACGTTAAGTTCTTCGGAAAGTGGTTGGGCTAAAAGGTGTTTTTGATTGGGCGTTATATCATGTGAAATAGTATTTGGAAAAATATTTCGGCGACTACGAGGTTTGTTTTGGTAATCTACAACTTTATTTCGAGTTTTCCGAATACTTGAAGACGGTTTTACAGGACTTGGCAATATGTACGTAATATTATCATCAAGATTTAAAATGTCTACATCACTTCCTACCTCACAATTCGACGAATCACTTAATTCTTCAATTATAAAATTTGCATTTTTAATTTTAGGAGTATAGTCTTTGTCTTCATCTGTATCATCAATTGAAGTAAGGCTATCGTCATCTGAAGGTATACTTTCAAACAATACATCACATATTTCACTGTCGTTTATTTTCATGTTGATTACTTAATAATTAAATAATATAGAATAATTAACAAGTTTGTAAATAATCAAAAACAACGAAGAAATAATACGAGTGTACTACGCGAATGATATTCACCAACTATAATACTGACAAGAAATGACTGTCGTCGGTAGTCGGTACCGCACGGTGGGTTATTTATTGGACGGTCACATTTATTAATATTACACAGGTCACAATAATACGAATTAGTTTATTTTTATATCATAATAATATTCACTAATATTTACGTCGAATGAAAAAAAAAATAAACAAATCGGTCGACAAAATAGTGAGTAATAGAAAATAGAAATAATTATAGTGAACTGATAACGTGGACAAATATAAGGAAAGAAGAAACTCGTAATAAACTCGCACAAATTACCCATAGTCTGTTTATTTTTATATCTAGGCCTTTAGAATGTGCAACAATATTAATGTCAAGTTATTAATTGAAGAAATATTTGATCGGGAAAAAAATAAAAATAAAAGAAAAGGTGGGTTATTTTTCGTCCCACCGTGAAGAAATGCCAATTTTTTTGGTGGGACATTACGTGTACCACCATGCCGCAAAGAGTGTAACTCTTTTATTATAAACGGTAAAGTACTACATTTTAAGATAATATTTCTACATAATTTACATATTATCCTATTTACATATTGAACTTGTTTTTATTTTTTAAATTTTATAAAATGTGTATAAACAATAGGTAATTTTTATAATATTATGTACCTATATGAATTTAAATTTTAAAATATAAATAAATAAGAGTTAAATAAATTTGATTAATTATAACATAAAATTGTGAAAAACTATTATATTACTTATTATAATATTACAATAATTATAATTTTTATGATTCAGGTATTCAAAATAGCCCAGCTAATACAGACTTAATACAACAAATTTTGGAACAAGGCAATGCTACTTATTTATTTTTAAAGAGATTAGATGGAAAGATTGATCGTTTGGAACACAAATTCCTAGATATTTCTACAAATCGAAATAATATTCAAACATTAAATGAAGATTTTTTATCATATTTTCCCATGAAAGATACAACCTCAATTGATAATATTGAAGTCCTTATTACCAATGACATTGATTTTAAAAAAAATGTGGTCGGTATATTATTTATCTATATAGTTATTAATAGTGTATATATTATATTATATATATTATAATCGATAATAATTATCGAATAAGTATTATTGGAGATTACAAATAATATGATTATAGGTATCTATAATACCTACTTAATATTTTAGATTCTGAGTGAAACGATGAATGTATTGATTTTACAATGATGTGTGTTTATTTATTTTTTTATTTTTTTTGTATCTGTGTACACGATAAGTAGTCGAAAAAATGCTTCGATTTTCGACTTCAGTATCTTGTTCGATTGGAAAGTGAATATCGTTGGTGCATTGGGGAGGTCAAAATTTGAAATTCCCAGTACTTTTCAAAAGCGCCAAGAAAAACAAAAGAAAAATGAAGGAAAAACGGGAATTTTTACGCAAAATCGATTTTTCAGAAAATTGAATTTGGTTTTTGCTATAATTTTAAAACAGATGACCGTAGATACATGAAATTTTCAGTGGTTGTTTATATTTGCATTTTCTATACACGATAACATTTTCAAAATATTTTGATTTATTTTGAACTGTTTAGGGACATTTTCATTTTTCATTTTTTTTTTAGTTTTTTTTCTAGAAATATCAATTAAATTTTATTTGTTGGTTAAAAAAACTTGAAAATTTAATAGAAGGCTCCTAGTATATGGTTTGGAAGGCAGATGAAAAATATTAAAAATCGTTAGTCACAGTTTTTTTTTATAAGCATTTAAAGTTCAAAAATTGACAAAATATGGAAAAATCACGAAAATTAGCAAATTATTTTGAGTTAAGAATTCGTAAAAACTATTCTTTTTAAATCTAAGATATGAAAATGTAATACAAGGTTCCTTATAAGATTGTCTACCTTTATCAATAAAAAAATTTCTACCGGAAATTCAAATTAAATTTTTATGAGCGTTTGAAATTCAAATTTTTACAACATTGGATATTCACTCGATTTCTCATGTGGCGATTTCCTTTTTTTGTTGTAATTCAAAAACGAATTACTGTAGATACATGAAAATTTCACTGAATGTTTATATTAGCATTTCCTATACACCATACAATTTTGAAAATATTTTGACTCTTTTTGAGCCGTTTACGGACATTTTCAGTTTTCAATTTTTTTAGTTTTTTTTTTCTATAAATATCAATAAAGTTTTATCTGTTGGGCCAAAAAGTGTAAAAAATTAATACAAGGCTAATGATATATTGTTACAATAGCAATTGAAAAATATTAAAAATACATAGGCACAATTTTTTTTTATAAGCATTTGAAGATCGCATTTTGACAAAATTTATCAAAATCTCGAAAATTATCAACCATCGTAATTAATAAATTATAAAATGTTCAGTTTTTATAGCTAAGGATTGCAAATTTAATAAAAAGATTCTCATAAATAGTTCATACTGTAACCAAAAAATCTAAAAAATATATGAACACAGTTATTTTTTACAGACATTTTAAGTTCAAATTTGGGACGAAATTACATATTAAAAAACCTAGCATACCTATTTTCGTTATTTTGTTGTGAGTGTATAATACTATTCGTGGGTACTTGAAACTTCTAAAGTACACTATATTATATATCTATGATAGTATCAGGGTTTGTTATTGATGTATAACGTGTTATAAGTACCTAATGGATAATGTGATATGATTAATTTGGAATTTATTATAGGTCAATTTTTTTTTTAATACCATAGATATGTATATAATTGCCTTAAACCTAGACTGACATACCGTCTTCGCTCAGAATCGTTTTTCTTATACAATGATATTGTATCATTGAATTCAAATTTAATAGCATCCATTATACAGTGACCCACTTGTAACCTACTGTACAGCAGAGCGACATCCACTTACCCACCTTATTTTTTTAAATGTTCGTTGCCATGATTTTTTTCCAATTTTTTTCAGGAAAATTTTATAACTCAAATTGGAGGCACTGATGCAAAAAACTTTGTCAAACGTATATTACAAAGACTATTCTCAAATGAATTGTCATCCAAGTGTTCCTGGACTGGTTTCCGAAACAATTTTAAACTCGAAAATCTTACAATTATGGGCATAGTAAAAGGTATATTATTTATGAATTTTGTAATCATCATTATTGATAAAATAATTTCTAGGTGTATACAGAGAAAATTTCAAAACCTCAGACATTGAATTTGAAACTCTGATCAAACATTGGTTTCGCCATGGAGCTCAGCGTTTGGCTCGGGATCAGTTATTATTGAGCAAAAATAGATAGTTTACAACTAGTAAGTATAAAAATATTATAGTGGATTAATTTTCACTTACTGTCCCCATTTTTTAAATTAACTATTTAAGTTAAACATTTTTGAAAATTTTAACTTTTTAACGTGTTGCCTACATAATATAATTCATGATAATTTATATTTATCATTATAATTTATAATTGTAAATTATAATTAGATAATCATCACATTTATTTATTAAGTACCTACCTATATAATATATTATTATGTATACGAGTATTAGATATTTTTTTCATGATTAACATATTAGTCTTTGGTTGTATTGTAGTAGGCAATCAATTTATTATAGTACATTTAATTTAATTGCCTACATAATTTAATTTTATAAATTATTTTTCAATTAATTATCATTATAATTGATTGACAGCTTGGAACATGTAGTTATCCTGATTTCTTGTTTCAAAACAATGAAATGCAAAAACTGATTGACTATACTGTATAATATTGTAAAACATATAAACATATACTTATTAATACTGTAAATTAATTAATTTTGAAAGTTAAAATTGTATATTTAATTATTAAGTTTAATATAATGTATGACTATTTAATTGTATAATTATTCAAATATATTATAGATAAAGAAAAGAAAGCCTCTCCACTGCATGTCTAAGAGAAACTTTCAACGATACTTAGAAGCTGAAAAGAAATCAGTCAGTGCAAAATGTATAAAGGATTCGGTATTGCCAAATGAAGTAAGGATCAATACATGTTTCAATAATTTACCTGCTCAGCCTTCATTAGTAAATTCTTCTATTGCAGTAACCAACGAAATTACTTTATATCCAAAGCAAATAGATTCAAATTTTTCGGAAAATACAAATAATTTTAATTGTGATGCTATAATTCCTAAAATTATATCAAATAAAAATAATGTTACCCTTAAAGACAAATTATGTAAACTAATATCAGATTATCATATATCTCACAATTGTGTTAATGAACTTTTACAAATTTTGAGATCTGAAGGCCTTGACTTACCAAAAGATGTTAGAACTTTAGTGAAAACTCCAAAAACTCACGAAATTATTGATGTGCATCCAGGATCTTACATCCATATTGGTGTAGAGTATAATATGATAACACCTATTTTAGTTGCGTATTTTGACAAAATAAAATATACTAATCTAATACGACTAAGTATTTACATTGATGGCTTACCCATCACCAAAAACTCCAAATCTACCTTATGGCCAATATTAATTTCTTTTGTTAACATACCCGATTTAATACATATTGTTTTGCCAGTAGGCATATACCATGGAAAATTTAAAAAACCTGTTTACTGGTATTGTAAAACCCAAAGTTTCCAGATTTAATTTAATTCGAGACTAAAAAGTAAGAGGTTTCGCTAAAAAGTAAAAACATTAATAAATCATATTTACCTATATAAAAATGAATCAAATTAGAAACCGTTGAAAAATATAAACAAGCAAATTAATAAAAACTCAAAAAAATATGAAACAAATAGAATAGATACTGTTTTTGAATTCAGTCGTCTATGGTTAAGTATTATATTGAGTAAAAATCTCATAAATTTACATATGGGTTTTAGGAAAATGAGGCACCTACTACCTACCTAAATTATTATGTTTTATGTAGATTTTTTAACTTATTAGGCCAGATTGGACGAATAGGAAATAAGTTAGTGTGGATATGGTTAATGAAGTAAAATCGTATGAGAATTGATAGCCAGTAAGTACCTATATTGTATAGTGTCTACAACTGTCTACATAATGATATATAGGTACCTTATAGTCACCCATGTAAACTTTTTGTGAATAATATAGGCAGCCTATATTATGTATACGTACAATGATTATTTTTTTATAATTTTCATCGCCAGAAACTGTATCAAAAAAAATAAAAAAATTTTTAAATAATATTAATTATACTATTAAGTAGGTAATCCAGCCAAATTATTCAACAGACAGTATTGTTAATACAAAGTTAGAATACATTGATGATGATTAAAAATCCAATAATATTAAAAAACAATGAATTGTGAGTTGTAACTTGTATTACAATTTTTGTAAGTTATAACTCAGGTATCAGGGTAAAATAAAAATACATAGATAGCTTCAGACCTGGATACCAGGTATGTAGCCTGCTTCCCCTCGTAAGGAAGGCTTATAATTTTTTTATGAGCAAAGAAATAATAACGATGGGACAAAGAGTACAAATAAGCACTAACTTAGTCTAAACCAATCTTTAACCAAGTGTTTTACTACATTTTAAGGTCTATTTTGATTTTTGAGTTGTTTAATCAAGCGTATTACGTATTTCCTTGGTTAACTTTTTTAAAAATGTTTTCGTTTTGGTTTTTGATTTAACAGTTAGGGATACGAATTTTTTCAGTAAAAGTGAAAATGATCCATATACGCCATTTAGTTATTTCTAATAGTTTTGCAAGATAAAAACGTATATTTGAGAATTTTGATTTTCACAATAATTACGATCACGTAAATTTTATAATCAAACTCATGCAAGTAAGTTATTTGAACCTAAAAACTACGAAACACCTATGGACACCTTTTGATTACTTTTACCAACCAACCTCAAGCAATTTCCGATAAAACTCTGTGGGCTGTAGTCCACCTGTCCTCGTTTTAGGATTCCAGATCATCCCCTTGTAAGAAAGGCTTATACCTAACTTTTTTTACTTGTAAATAATAATAACGATGGGACAAAGAGTACAAATAAGCACTTACTTAGTCAAAACCAATGGGACTGATTTGGACCAAACAATTCAATATGGTTTAAATCTTACTTGGACTATTCTGCAGTCATTATTAAGCAATATGCAAATGCAACAAGTCCCGAACCCTAATTATAATAATATATTGTAATATGAGGCCCATGACATCCGTTTGACTCGACGGGCAAACTATACGGGCGTATATTGATCAGCGTAAAAGCGGTTGCAGTGTATATCATATAAGTATATAGTAGTACTCGCACACGCGAAATAACGTTAAGTATAAAAAACACTACGTCTTGCGCTTTCCGGACCAGAACAAATATAACGCTCCGTATGGTATATACCACCGGTATGTACCTATATGTATATGCGATGCACATATCGTACCTTATATATTATATTATACGTATCCGTGAGAAATCGGTACCTGACGACTACTGCAGCGACCAGTGAACCATGATGATATGCGTATATATAAATGCGTGTATGAGTGTGTGTTGTATATATTATACAGGGCAGTTATTTTATCGAGGGCGAAACACGGTAGATTCGTCGTAAATGCAGGCATAATATGGCATGTGCTTTGATGACTTTATTTTTTCTATATTTATTATATACATAAGAATTTAGAAGTCGTTTTACAACACGTTTTTTAAATAAAAAATAATAATTTTTACGATTATTCCAGCCTAGTTATAATATAACACATAACATATAGTTATCGGCATTTACAATTTTTTACGAACCAGGGCATCATGATATACTGCAGATAGAGTACAATCATAACTGCAGTTATGGTGTATTTAGGCCGGGGACTCGGAGGTCTTGGCGGAAATATGAATTTAAAATGCATACCTAATACTCTAACGATAAAACACAAATGTTTGTCACCTCAACATAATATAGAAGACACTCTGTATATAACTCTAATATATAGACTGGCACGTGCACAACGATGTAAAGACAACATAAAGGTACCTTAGGAAAAAAACAAACCAGAAAACGTTTTGTACATAGTCACATAGACATACTCACAATCCGTTAGTTACGCCACGTGTGACCGTCGTGCACTGTTCCGCGTCACCGAAGACTTTTAAATTAAACGCGAGTGATAACCTGTGACCTTATACTTAATAATATGGACGTCGTCACAGTACACATCTTAAATATATTGATCCTCAATGGTGAGCTACGTTTGAGAAAAAATCAGAAGGTACAAGACGAAAATATCAATTTAATCTCAATAAGTCGTGTGTTTCAAAGGTCGATTGGCGGGAATGGTAGGATTCAAGCTTTAAAATCCGTTGCCGTTGAGTTCCAGTTTGGATCCAAGACGCGATTTTCTTTTTTTCGTCGATATCTATCGTCATCGTTCATAATTGTATATCGACGATCGCCGATCCATATACCGATCTTGAGCACTATAGCTGTAGATCTCGATGATGTAATAACAACATAGGTAAGCATCAATAGTCTGCCGCTTCGGAACACGGATATATTTACGGGAGTGAGGTGATATCAGCAATCAGTCCCTATTTTTTTATGAACTCTGAGTCTCTGACACAAAGTATGTAGGTAGTAAGAAATTGGTAGTGTGCCATGTGCAGTATTTATGGAGGGAATATTAAGTTCCTACGCGGCGAAAAAATACTTATGTTGGTCCCTACACTAATCTTATAGACATGACTTGTCTTAGAACAACAATAGTGTTTTCTTCATTTCTTGGATCAAATCCGAACAAGATGATTATAGCAGCTTCGTAGGTAAATCCACTGTTCATAGTTGGCAGTGTTGTAGTAAAGGGGGTGTGTATTAGAAAACACAATATCATGGCGATTTTTATTTTTTTTTTTGCATATAAAATATTTTTTTTTTAAATTTATAATTATATAATAATATAAACCTACACACCTTATAGTATTAACAAAAGCAAAAATGTATAATTAAGCTTCACAGTATATTAGTTTGTTTATTTGTATTGTTGTCTTATGAATTAATACAAGAGGAAAATGCTCAGAGAGGGGCATAGTAGAAATTGCAGTTATGAAAAAAAAAATCTAATGAGGTAATAAATAGTGGATGGGCAGCGATATTATATTATATTTCTAGTTTATAAAATACAGAATATACATAGGAGGTATATATCTAAATGGTATCATTTTTTTCCGCACGCACCCATTTACATTTTACAACGTCAAAGCGATTTTGTGGACTCTGTCGACCCACGACATTTAAAGTTTAAACGAAAATATTTAATAGCGTGTACGATCTTAGTGTACACGTGAAAAGCCGAATGTTGAGGATACATTATAATAATATATTACAGCACGTATAGGTATAATGCATAGGTTCTTAACCGGGGGTCCGTGCCCACAGATCTCTATACACCCCCATTAAACTGTTCCATGTGTAAGTATGTAACATAAACATATTCTATTGTTTATATAATATAATTTAATAATAAGTATGCGTAAGTTTCTCGTTATCATAATATTTGTAATAGCTAAGTACATAAAATGAAAAACAAACGAAATACAATTTCAATGTTTAAGTTATATTTCATTAATTTATTACACTTCCAGCTGGATGTATTTAAAATAGAGTAGGCCAAATACTTAAAGAGGAAAACTTGAGGTTTAATATACCAGTAAAGTAATTGTATCAGTATCACTATAAGTACAAGTTTGGACAAAATGTGATTTTCCCATTTTACATCTTACCCAGGCTTCCCCTGTATAATTTGTTTGGTTGAATGATACTGTTGATACATAAATCACAAATGTACAATAGTTATATAAACACAATTAAAATATAATATTATTTGATATTGGGTATTGGTCGGTAATCGCGACATATCTTAAAGAAATTAATATCACTTAGTTTATCCACATATAATATAAAGTTACAACATAAAATTATAGGTATAATAAAAAATATTTTTTATATGAACTGAATAATAATAAAGAAATTATCCATACACAATTACCTATACTGATGATATTACTTATTTTCTAATTTTTAGGCTGGGGCTTTAACTTCTAATAAATTATTTTGGAGCGACTAAGCCCTCCTGGTCTCCACTTATGTCCCCCCCACCCAATGCTTGAGCTCCATTAGACACACCTTGAACTTGTGCTAAGTATTATTTAGAAGCACCCTGTGAGGCTGCAATTCATATTTGTGCCTATAATACGCGTTAAACATTTACCGCTCCCTAAGGTCAGTCAAAATATTCGCGTAACTACTGAAATTAATAATTATAAAATGTGTACACTGCAGGTTGGAAATATAAAAAATTTCGATTAAATTTTTTTTTTTATTTGCTGACTTCAAAACACTGTTTATAGCAAGCCAGAATGGATCCAGAGTCCGCCACCCTCTGCGTGAAACGTGTCAATACGTGATAAAATTTAATAGGTAGGTACGTGCGATAAAATAACATATAATATATAAGACAGGGGGACGAGGTGGCCGAGCGGTCGAACACGTCGTCTGCGGTGCTGGCGGTCGCGGGTTCGATTCTCTCGACCACTGGGCGGCATTTTTCTCCGGGCAAGTCACGGTGTCCTGAGAACAAGTGCCGCCATCCCCCACTCCGGGGCATGGCAGAAACCTAGG